GTGTCGGAGGTCGGTTGGGTTTCCCGCCGCCCTGAACAAGGATCTAGCGACGGCGGTTTCCCTCCGAGCATGCCCAGACTCGCTTTCTGCCGTCATCTCCTGCAGATTCTGTTCTTGGGGGTTCACCGTCTGGGCAGGAGGTCGCTGGGTGGCGGCGTCCCTTGGCTGGGACGTCGCGTGTGAGCGCGTTTGGTTGTTCACGCCTTGCTGCAATGGTGGTGCCTCCGGTCTGGCCGGGGTTATGGGCGCAAGTGATTGACCCGGTACGGTTCTCGAGGTTCCTGGCATCGTTTGGGCTAGTGCGTCGAGAAGCCTTTTGCGAACTCAGGGTTCTGCATGAGTGTTGCAAGGATCGGTATCATTGCTGTGTTGGCTCTACCGGTTGAAGGGATTGGACCATGGTTGTCCCCTCCCCTTGTTGTTTGGTCATCTTGTCCCGATTGCGCCATCGTTATATGTTTTCGTGTCAGCGGTTTCAAAGATGTATGCTGGATTCAAAGGTTAACCTCAAGATATCTTATGAGGCCCTTCCTCTAGCGCCAAACTGTTGATAAATGGATTTGATCAACCTTTCTAAATATTAATCTTCAGGATTTAATGCGGAAATGAGGTGATTTTATTAGTTAAACGGGGGATATTTTACAATAGATTCAAGTCGGTATTTCGGACTTGAAGTCGGGTTTTCGGTAGTACAATAACATTGCAATGGGCCATGAACCGAGGTGATTCATACGGGATTTAATGCGCCGGAAAAAGATCCTCGTATCGTGTTTAATGCTGCTATTTATAGTAACTGTGGGCTCGTCTTTTGAGGTGATACGGCGGCATTTAATGCGGTGTGACAAGGCGCAAGCTTTTTGGCAGGTGGGACCCCTCAGCAATGATGCTCTCACGTGATTCTTAGACATTTGATGGACAGGCATTTAATGCTGCCGGTCGGTACCGACGTCAACCTGCGTTTGAGTCGTCCTTACGGGGGAGGTCGGCGTCCTGATGTAGTCGGTCTTCCGAGGTCGGTTTCCACAGCTCGAGGAGCTTCTTCTTTTCTCTCCTCGGCTCGATTCCTAATCTCTCCCATAACCCACGTGTCCTTCATCCGACATTCGAGGAGATTTTTATGTCAACACCCGGCAAACCGGTCTAGTATATAATATCCCATATCACGGAGTATATAGAAGTGATTTGCGGAGTCAGATTGTTTTACATTTGGTAACTACTCCGAATTAATTTGCAAGAGCATAATATAATGGCTCGTGTGTTTGCAATTAAAATAACAATATTTGGTACATTTGCTAAAGTCTTAATGACCCGTAGGATTGAAAAAAAATGGTTGTGTGGTAGTTTGGGGAGTGATTTTCTCAATTTTCTTACAGAAGTATGAATACCAATATATAGAGACAAATTCTTTTAAAATAACTATTTTTATTTGTTGTTATCATTTAAAAATAATAAATTAGTTCTTATAAATAATGATCCCTATGTTATCCATTTGAATTTCAAATAGTTAAAAAATTATAAACTTTGTAATATATAATCTAGGTTTTAATAGTGACTTATTGATAAAGACTTTCATAATATTATAATTCTAATTCTTGCGCAGTCAAATATTTTAACAAATGATGTGCTTCTCAGTATTGCTTCACTATTTTGTTTTTTTTTTTTCTTGTTTTCTCATTGTTGAAGAATAAAGAAGGATCTTTATATTGAATTTTCGAACCATTATGTATGATGCAAAAGGTTGTGCAAAAAAAAATCGATAAAAAGAGCTATTAGGCACATAAATATTCCAAATTCGAACTAATGTGAAAGATATTATGATAAACAACTCTAAAATCATTGTAACAACCAATATAGTCAATTGTGTTCAAATAATAGATGATATAGTTCATCTACATTCTAAATTAATAACATTGAAAAAGGAATGCTGGAGCCTGATCAAAATAATTTTAAAAGTTTGAATGAAGTTGTCACATTTTGATAAGAATATTTACAATCACAATAGTGTGAACATATGTGAAATTACTCTAGAGTACATACTTTCATGTAATGAGCAATGATTTACAAAAAAAATTAGTGCATTTGGAGAATTATATGTAACTTAGATTTTAAAAGTCAACTTTTATTTCAAGACGGAGTTCCCACCCCATAGGGCAACACCTCCATGGGTAGGTACCATTTTATCTAGAGAGATTAATATAGTAGTTTATACAATGATTAAAAAAAAAATACAGTAATTTTAATGACACGGTTGGTAATTTTCACAGAGAATTCGTGAATTGTTAGTAGAAATACCTTATAATGATTATATGACCATGAAACTTGACTAAATGTTTAGCTAAAATATTTCCAAGTCATTTAATAAAGTAGACCTTTTGCCAAATGAATAACGAAGAATTCTGAATACTATTGATCTATTGATGTATTGGACCCCAACAGATATGCATGTTTTTTATAAAAACGTCACAACCAAAATAAATGAAACCAGTCTTAAATCATCTAACTTGATTAAATAAAGATATTAATGCATCTATAATATACATTAGATCATTACTTAGTTATTTAGTGTTTTTTTAATTAAAAACTCATTTTTCATATTTATTTTTTATTTTGTTGAGTTTGTAATGTGTTATTTCATTCTTTTTTGAGTAAGACATCATTATATTATGTTTCAAAAAAAAAAATACATTAGAGGTTTATTTTTTCCACATTTTATTTCGTTTATGTAATGATATGTGTAATAAATTAATTTAAATTAATTAATTTATTTTACTATACTTAATTGGACAAAAACATTCAATATAATATGCATCCACTTTACTAGTATGAACAAAAAAAAAAAACACATTTTGAATAAACATATAAAATTAAGCACAATAAAACCCCAATTAGTTGAGTAAAAAACTTTGAATGATTAAAAAGGAGGTGGGCCCGTCATTAGGATCGAGTATCCAAGAACACATCAGCACGAACAAAATCCAGCATGTGCATTCCTGCTTTTCATAATTCACCAGCACAAAAGAAAATTACAAGAGGGAAAAGCATTAGACTCAATGCCAGCCTAAAAGACTAAAAAGGTCCAAATGCATCTCTCATTTCCCCAACAGCATTCAATTATATAGGCAGCTCCCAAATTCTTGATAAATAGCTCTAAAAAGGTTGTGCAAAACCCAACCACCCATAACTTGAATCTTAAATTAGAATAAGTACCGTCGATGATGCACTTTTTCATGCTCCTAGTGAAAGAAAGAATATTACTACGAGTCCAAAGATATTTTGCATAAATGAAATTAAGAAAATCAAAGGAATCTCACTTTTCCCCGACCTGAAGCTCTCTGTCGGCCCCATAGATCAAATTACGACTGAGATTAACAATAATCAGAGCTGGAATGCTAAAATAGCTGTGAACACCAAGCACAAAAACGATAACTTGGCTTGGAAAGGGGTTCTCTCCTGTAATTTCGAACAAGATATCATCAGAAATTGATAATCTTATGATCAAGTGTGACAATAAAACTATAAGTATAAAACAAGCACAGCAGAATAGGGAATCCGATAAAGCAATCCTGTAAAATCTAGTTGCCCAGATGCCTTTCCTCAACTTCAAGAAATGAAACCACCTTTTATTTTCCTTTTTGATATCATTTGACATTAAATGTTTATGTGATTGAATATATATATATGTATATATATATATTTTCCAATGCAGATGGCGTCTTTCATGAAGATAGTAGCAATTCACTTCCCAAGTCCTGTAATTTTCACATCCTTCAGTGGAAAACCAAACGGCTACGAGAAAATGGAAGCATTTAGGTGGATCCAAAGCTTAGATATCAACCCGTGTGCTGGCTTTATAGACAAGTGTAATACTATGAGAAAAGATGAACTTCAAGAGAAGCTAGAAAAATATGGAGAAAGATGAACTTCAAGAAAAGCTAGAACAATATGGAGGTGTTTAGAACTGGACCAGTCTCCAAGATTTGCAAAATTTGATATTAACTAATCGGAAACGAGCCACTATAACTTAAAAGACCAGAAACAGAAAATTTCACATGTTATTAATCCAACTCGTAACAGGACATTGTTTTGTGCTACTATAATCTTTTCAACCCTGGAGGAATACAGAGATCAATAAATCCTTGTTGACGTTTCACCCCAAACTTGATACGAATGCCACGGTGAGACTTCATTTTGCACTACACAACAGTGTCCAAATCAACTTAAAATTCAGCTGAAAAATGCAGCTGAATAATGAGAAACGAGCTGTGATGTAGAGTTTATCTAAATCCCCATAAAACTTACTCACCACAAATGCAGCTGAAAAATAAAGAGAGTACTGACCGAATCATCAGCAGTAATAGCCAAGTAGCCATCAGAAGAGGTCCCAGTTGTGGCAGATGGGGGCTTGGAGTTGGAGTCGGTCGTGTTAGTGGTGGTCGTGTTTAACCCCAGATTGTACACAGGCGTCCCATCAGGCTTAAAAAGCCCAAAATTCCTCTCAGAAGTTGGGCCGGGCTTCTGATTCTCGTTAAACAGGGCGAACACGTAGATGTTGAGGTCTTGATTGGGCCTCAACGGCGTCCCCTTTTTTGTGGCAATCAGTTTCATAAGGTTCCTGATATACTTTCCGGCGTTGTCCGGCGTCGCCCCAGCCTCGTCTGCGTCTCCCTTGGAAGGCCATCCCGTCTCCGAGATCTGGAGCCGCACATTTCTGTATCCCAGCCTCTCCACCGCGAAGTAGGCCGCGTCGATCTGGGCGTGGAACATATTTTCGTACCTCAACCCGGACCCATGGTCCACCATCTCCGGCGAGCCCGGTTCGAAGAGGACGAAATCCAGCGACACCTGCTTGGGGTTGGCTCTGTAGGCGAAGTAAGGGTAGGCGTTGATGAGGAAAGGAGAGCCGACCTTGCTGTGGAAGTCGAGGATGCAGGAGAGCGTCTGTGTCAGATCTCGCCGGAACGCGCCTGCGGAGGGAGGATACGAGACCTCCAGCACCGCAAGGTTGTGGGCGGTGGTCACGGCGATAAGGCGGTCGAGTTTGAGGGAGACGAGGGCGGAGTGGATGCTTTCCATGGCCGGGAGGAGATTGTCCGAGAGAGCGGTGTCGTTCTGCGAGAGGACCTCGTTGCCCACGGCGATGCAGATGATTTTGGTTGACGGAAGATAGCACTGGACATTGGTCTTCACCCAGGCGAGGGCTTGCTTCGGGTCGCGCATTCCGGCGAGGTACTCGTTGGCGACGCACACGATGAACTCAACGCCAGTGTTGGCGAAGGCCTTGAGGACGCGGGGGTCGGCGTCGTAGAGCTTCAGGCGGGTGGCGCCGACGGACTTGACAAGGGTGACGACGGACTCCGGATAGGGGAGGTTGTTCCCGACTCGGCCGTAGTTGACTCCGAGGGAAGACGCCGCCGGCATAAATAGAGACGCTGCGTTTTGGACAATAAAAAATTAAATAATGTGATTCGTAGTTTAGGGGTAATGAGAGTGGTTATGGAAATTGAAATGTGAAGGAGGTAAATAATTACCAGAAATGAGTAGCAGTGGTAGTGCGGATAGTAAGAGAGCCGAATTCATGGCGTGTTGAGAGGCACCACAGTGGCGGTGTGAGGAGAGAGAGAGAGACAGGGAGAGAGAGGGGAAAGTGTGGGGGTGTATTGTATAGAGTGAAGACTGTCTTGAACCCTGTCAGACTGTCCATTTCTCTCCTTTATATCCTTCATTTTTTTTTATTTTTTTTTTTACGAAAATAATATATAACTCATTGAAAATTATTAAATCATAGCACAAAAATTTATTCTCAAACTCAAAATGAATGTATATCCCTCTTTATCAGAGTTTTCTTCTCCATTGAGTGTTCTCTGGTGTTAGTTGCTGGTAATTTTCCTTGCGACATCATTATTGTTCGGTCTAATGCCATCTCCAATCGAAAAACCCAAACTCAAACCCATTTTACAGTAATTATCACATTTTGCAGTAATTCATCTCCAATCGAAAAACTAATTCTCAAACCCAAAAGAATATTTCTCGAATATTCTCTTTTACACCAACTTTTATAACTTTTCAATACTACCCACATATTTTACAATTTTACAAATTAAACCACACTATTATTTAAAATTCAATTTGGACTTTATGTAATTAAAATTAATTATACATAATAAAATCGGAGAAATAAATATTCATTAAAAATTAAAATTTCACCACACAAATAAAATTAATAATTACAATTCACAAGATGAAAAATTAAAAATTACAACACACAAGATGAAAAATTAAAAATTACAACACACATGAAAATTATAAATTACAACACGCAAAATGAAAATTTAAATATTACAACACACAAGATAAAATAGAAAATTATAACAATCACGTAAAAATAGATAGTCTTTCAAGTCTCGGAGTTGGTGAATTCTTCCCATAAATGATCAATTAGTGCATTCCGAAGTGCAATATGATCATCTTTATTTCTAATTTTTTTTGTACCGAGATATAAATTCTTTAAATCGAGTACTTTCATCTACTGCCATTTCGACCTCCGGCGGCGGCGTTTCCATTTCAGTTTCTATTGGTGCACTTAGGTCACGTTCATCCTCAACAATCATGTTATGCAAAATTATACATGTGGTTATGATATCATGTTGCACTTCTTTTCGCCAATAACGTACTGGTCCTGCTACAATGCCAAAACGTGATTGAAGAACTCCAAATGCACGTTCAACGTCTTTTCTGCAGGCTTCTTGTTTCATTGCAAAATATTTTTTCTGTGGACCACGTGGCTCATGATTTGTTTGCACAATGGTAGACCATTTTGGATATATGCTATCAGCTAAATAATAACCCATGTTGTATTCTTTTCCTTGAATTATATAATGAGCTGGAGGAGCAATACCTTGGGTTAGATCCGAGAAAAGATGAGATGATTCTAGAACGTTGATGTCGTTGTTGGAGCCCGGCAAACCGAAATAAGCATGCCATATCCATAGATCATAATCTGCTACAGCTTCAAGAATGATTGTAGGCTTTCCACTACGACCAGCATATTGGCCAGCCCATGCTGTAGGACAATTTTTCCACCTCCTATGCATGCAATCTAAACTCCCCAACATTCCTGGAAAACCACGTTGCTGGCCAATGTATAGAAGCCTGGAAATATCATCAGATGTGGGCCTCCGCAGATACCGCTCGCCAAATACCTCAACTATCGATCGACAAAATTTTTTCATACTTTCAATTGCAGTGGACTCACCAATTGTAACATACTCGTCTGTAGCATCATCTGGAACGTCGTATGCCAACATACGAAAGACAACAGTTATTTTTTGTATTGGAGATAATCCAAGTCTGCCTGCTCGATCCACTCGCTGTTGAAAGTAATGATCATGATCTTTGACTGCGCCGACAATTCGAAGGAACAACGAGCGAGACATTCTGTATCTTCTACGGAACATGGTCTCGTTATATAATGGATTTTCTGAGAAATAATCATTGTACAACCTACGATCAGCAGCCTCTCGATCACGATTGATAAAAATATGCCCAGGAACAGATCCTCCATGGGAGGCTTCTTGGTTTTGTTGATTGATAAGATGTTGAATGATGATGTTGTTATTAGCGATAGCTTGAGCTATCACTGCTTGTTTTTTACGAAGAGCATTCATAATTAGCATATGATCATTCTCAGAATCAGAGGAAGAAGATGACGAATTGCCAAAATTAAAATTCATTATAGAAAGATAGAGAAATATGAAAATATGTTTGAAGAGATTCAAGTGTGTGATGAATTTAGTATATGTTATGTTCTTATAGTAGTGAATTTGAAAGGTGTGGTAACCTTTGTGGGGAGTGGTTATTTTCAAGTCAAAGTATTGATAGGCGTGACAGTCTTTGAGGTGAGAGGTCATTACAGAAGGTGTCCACTTTCGGGTCAAAGCATTGAGAGAGGTGGGGGACATTGTAGTGATGTGTCATTTTCAGGTCAGAACATGAACAAGCGTGATCAATTTTGCAGTGACAAGTCACTTTCGGGTCAGAACATTGATAACCGTGATCAACTTTGCAGTGACATGTCACTTTCGGGTCAGAACATGATTAAGAGTGATCAACTTTGCAGTGATGTGTCCTTTTTGGGTTAAAACATGGATAAACGTGATCAACTTTGCTGAGAGTGACCATTTTCGGGTCAAAGCAATGAGAGTGGTGGACATTGCAGTGATATGTCATTTTCGGGTCAGAACATGAATAAGTGTGATCAACTTTGCAGAGTGTGTCCACTTTCGGGTCAAAGCATTCAGAGAGGTGGGGGACATTGTAGTGATGTGTCATTTTCAGGTCAGAACATTGATAACCGTGATCAACTTTGCAGTGACATGTCACTTTTGGGTCAGAACATGGATAAACGTGATCAACTTTGCAGTGACATGTCACTTTCGAGTCAGAACATTGATAACCGTGATCAACTTTGCAGTGACATGTCACTTTCGGTCAGAACATGATTAAGCGTGATCAACTTTGCAGTGATATATCATTTTCGGTTCAGAACATTGATAAGCGTGATCAACTTTGTAGAGAGTTGTCATTTTCGGGTCATTGTAGTGATATGTCATTTCGGGTTAAACCATGGAGAGAGGAGATGGTCTTTCACTATAAAAGAAGATATCATATTGTAGTGAATACACCCCAACATTTTTATTCTCTACACTAAAGCTTTAGCACAATTAACTTCTTGTAAAAATGTCGATCCGTTCATCTTCCTATAACCATGATGAAGATGTCCTTTTATGTCAAGTTTATATGGATATTTCTGAGGTTCCAATTATTGGGGTATACCAATCATCTGATCGATTTTGGTCCCGTACTGAAAATGCATTCAATGAAGGACGACTTGAGCATTGGGAGGTTCGTACCAAGAGATCTATGCAAGCACGAATTCAAACAATCGAAAAAGCAGCCAAAAGACTCCATGCATGCATTAAAGCAGTAGAAGATATGCATCAGAGTGGTGCATCAAATGAAGATACGGTGAGTCCTAAAATTTGATTGTATTTTTTATTTATTAAATTTATTATTTATATTAGTTGTGGTTAATTGTTTATGCAAATTGTAGATGCTCAGAGCAAAAGTGTTATTCAAAGAAGATTCCATATTCAAATCCGGATGGAAATACGATCATGTTTGGGATATTATTAAAAACTTTGAAAAATTTAAAGATGGAACTTCGAGGAGCAAGAAAAAACAGTCTGGTTGTTATCCATCTTCGGAGTCAGAAAATCCAACTCCTGAGTCTGCCCGACAAGAATCCGCAGGTATTTCTTCATTTTCTATAAATTTAAGCGACTCGGATCAATGTGCTACTGGTTCTCCATCTGAAAGACCTATCCGGGTCAAGAAAGTCAAACTAAAAAGAAAGGTAAATGATGATTCATCATCGCTCATCAATGCGATGAAAGAAGCAAACAAAAGACTTGTTGATGAGATGAAAAATGCAAACGATCAAATAAAACATCAAATGGAGATGCACAATAGATCCCTCGCTTTAGAAGAAATGAGGGAAGAAAATAAAATTCTGTTTCAAGATGTCAGTTCCATTGAAGATCCTCGAGTTCGAGCATACATTGAAGCTGAAAAGGCACAAATCTTGGAGAAAAGAGCTCAACAAGCCCAACCGGATCCATATCCGACTAATGCATTTGGCCAATTTTTCAATGATCTTGGAGGAAGCGGTGCCAACTTGCCAGATTACTAAGTATTCATGTTTGTTTTCAGTTGTTGGGTTTATGATGTATTTTTATTTTAGTACCGTGTGATGTTGTATTTTTATTTAAGCAGTAGTTATTGAAATGTTTTTCTTTGAACCGTGATCTATCATGTAATAATGTTATTTCAATATGAATTCGTAATGTTATTGTTATTTAATGCTAGTGTTTTCTTTTATTGTTAAATAAAAATACCATAAACAATATGTATATTTTATATTATTATTGTAAAAAATGTAACATTAAATGATAAATATAATATTTATTATTTTAAATATTTTACTATTTAATTTTTATGAATAAAGATTTTTTTAGTATATTAAAAATATATAAAAATAATTCATGATTTTAAATATCATATGAGCTAAATTAATAATTATGGGGCTAAAAAAAAAAAAAGAAGAAGAAGATGAGATAAATAAAAAAGAGAAGGACTAAAATGAAAGAAAAAAAATATTGGACGCAAAAAATTGCGTCGAAATGGAGAGAGAGAAGGGTATAAACTCATTTTGCGATGAGATTTTCAGTACGGTTGGAGCAAATTCTACTGCAAAATTTGGGTTTTGCAGTACCATTGGAGTAGGTCTAAGGCTACATCCTCCATCGCTTCTATTATGGAAGATGATTTAGGGTACCGATTGGGCAAATTCACGCTCTAGGAGGTGGAAGATGCATATATCGACATTGAGAAAATTGATGTCCAAATAAGCGAGGACGAATGCCAACGAAGCCTGTTTGGAAAAATAGTCGGTGGGAGAAAGGCTAATTGGGTTGGAGTCAAGAGCACTATGAACTTCCTCTGGAAATTGGGAAGCTCAC